CCACTGCACTCCAGTCTGGGTGACAGAGTGAGACTCCAACTCAAAAAAAAAAAAAACAAGTACTCTAAACATGCCAGTGTTTTGGGGACATCCCTGGACTCACACACAAGAGCTGAGCCACACCACTCCAAACAGACATGGCTGGCCATACGGGACTTCCTCCATAGATGCATCATTTTCTTTGCCCATTTCTTGGTCTCTCAGCTCCTGGCTTGGCTTACACATGCTTCATGGTGGGCAGGTCTACCTGTTAAAATCTACCCCTGACATCAGAGGAAACCGAGAGGCTGAAGAAAGAGGCTGGCAAATCTAGTCTCTTAAAAAGAAACATTGAAAAAGGACTTTTAACCTTTGTGGAGGTTTTTGATTTTTATTTTTCACATAGTTCTCGTACTTAAGAACTGCACAGGCTGGGCCCGGTGGCTCAGCCTGTAATCCCAGCACTTTGGGAGGCCGAGGTGAATGGATTGCCTGAGTCTGTGGGTTCAAGACCCACCCGGGCAACTTGGTGAGATGTCGTCTCTACAAGAAATCAAAAAAATTAGCCGGGTGTGGTAGTGCGTGCCTATAGTTCCAGCTACTTAGAAGGCTGAGGCAGAAGGGTCACTGGAGCCCAGTTGGCTGAGGCTGTGGTGGCCAGGAGCATGCCACTGTTTACCAGGCTGGGCAACAGAGTGAGACTCCAACTCAAAAAAAAAAAAAGAACTGCACAGTCAAGTTGAGGAGACAGATATATACTCCAGGCGATGACAATACAGGGTGAAAATATGAAAAGAAATAGAATGCACGGTGGGCAGAAGAGCCAGCTAGTCCCCACTGGGGGAGACGTGAGAAGGGCTACAAGAGGGTGTCATTTGGAGGTGCCCAGAGAAGAGTAGGTGCTGGTGGCACCAAGTGGGATAGAAGAGCTGTCTGATTAAATGACTCAAGGTAAGCAAGGCAGAGGTCACATGAGCACAAGGAGAAGTGTGGGCAACAAGAAGGAGACAGATCTGGAATGGGATTCAGGGCTGGAGAGTGATACCAAGAGGCTGAGCCAAAGTGTCACCTCCTTTCCTTCTCAAGGACTTTAAGTCTAGACTGGATGAAAAGGGCCCTTCAGTGGCTGTCTTCACAGTAGTTCTTTTATGCCAGCCAAGAGTTGGCATTGCTCAAAGCTGGGCTTCACTGCCAAGGCGTTTCACAAGTTTACCAAGGGAAATCCCCAGTCTCCTGGACTTCTGCTTCCTTCCTGTATGACAGGCTGTCGAAACCTCAGGGCATAAAAGGCCTGAAGTGTGAGGCATCCCAGAGGAAGTTTGTCAGGAATACAGAAGCAACTATTATGGACCAGAAGTCTCTCTGGATAGGTAAGCATGGGGCTGATAATTCAGCAGGGAAGTTGATGAGGAGGGAAGGGGTAATGCAGATCTGTGGAAGGAGTAATTCATGATCCTTTCTGAGACGAACAGTCCTCGTATATCAAGCTAATGTCCTAGGGGAATTACCTTTCCTGAATGGACCAGAAAACAGCAGAAACCATAGTCTTTTGTACCGTTAGGATGTTCTCAGTTTGCACAGAGGTGCCTGTTGGCCACAGTAGCACTGGAGCTCAAGACAGGAAAGAAACGAGGCTTCCTTGGCCTCTTGATATATGAGGACTATATCAAGAGTCACTTCTTTCATGGGATACGCTGTGGATACATTTGAGAACCTTTGGGGAGCCCAACATTTCTCATCTGCAGAACGGTTTATTGGTTGTTTTCTAAACTCTTCTTTCAGCCCCAAAGTTCTGATCCCAGACTATGGTTTTTGTGATGGCTAGAAATTTGGATGAGGGTACAGATAAGGCTAAATAAACCGGACTATGAGTAAACAAGGGACATGTACCAGGAGGAGAAGAGGTAGGTCTGATGGAGGAAAGAAGACATTTCATTGCATCTGTCCATACCTCTCTGTCTTAATTAGCGAGCAGCCCAGCTGGCAAGAGTCTTCTGAGTTCCCTATTGAGGATATTAGCCCTGGGCCCTCAGGAGGGAGCTCATAGGGAGGCAGCACTTTTCAGAAGGGCCTGGAGCCTGATCTGATGGTAGATGTGGCAACCAGAATTTCTCTGACCACTCCTTAGTGTGTGGAGGACCAGCTTTCTGTTTACCCTGTCTCCTGCCTAACAAAACTCATGGATTGGCAGGAGGGGATCTTAGTGCCGTTTCCCGGCCCTGAGCTCTGCAGAGGAGGCACTAGGTCCCAAACCTATGTCATACAAAGTTTTCTCTTCTTTTCAACTGCCCTTTTGTCAATTTTCAGACCCCCCCCCCCGAGTGGACAACATCCCCAAGTTAGGGAGACTGAAGTTCAAGGAGGCTTATCCATTGGGTGAATTTTCTAGGACCCAGGAACTCACTCTTTTCTTCCCTTGAGGCGGATGAACTAAGCAGAGAATAGTCTCACCAGTCCTTCTAAGGGAAGTGTCCTACGCAGAAAAGGCTGGGCACAACCTCAAATATGTAGGCTTGGAGTACTACCGGAGTCAGCTCGTGCTTCTCAATTCACCTTGCCTTGTTTTAAGAGTTACTGCCTTTGTACAGGGTGACCATTTATTTCAATTGACCAGGATAGTTCTGGTCCAAGTTGTCCCAAAGAAATGACTAATTAGTGTTCCTTTCACTCTCCAAAGGGTCTCATTGAACAATAAACTATATGGTCAACTTACCTATATTCAACTCCAGGCTAGACTAGGGAAGGCATCAACTTCATCTTCATTTCCCAAGTATCCTGGACAATGCTTAGCACAGAGCAGGTGATTCAACAAGACTTTGTTGCATAAATGAATGAGCAAGTGAGTTCCCAGTTTGGAAAATGTTTCTGCCCAGGGCTATAGGGACCTCAAAACCCTGTAAAGAGACGACAGCAGGCACAACTGGAGAGACCGGAAGAAGCATGGCTCTATCTTGTATATGGGCACACCCACATACTCGTTGCCATCATTTGGGACAGAAGAACCATGTTTGGCCCAACAGGTTTTGCTTTCTCTTTTTAACAGGTTTAGTGGCCTTGCTGCTTCTCCAGGAAGGTAAGTAGCCAATGAGTCACGACTCCCTGAGTCTCCCGAGTTGCGTACTTTCATTTCTGATGCTTTTTCTCTTGATTACTCTCTCTCTGGTTCTGCCACTGACATATACAGAAGGTGCCAAAAAATGCATACCTATTTTAAGATATGTTATCTATGCATTATTTTTTGAAGCTGAATAAATTACGGTAGCAATGTGTAGTATGACGTTTGCTCAACCATGCTTCCACCATTTTTTTTTTTACTGTCTTGCTCCGTTCATCTGATTAGTGCCATCTTCTAAGTGAAGGTCATAATTAAAATGTGTTTACTTTTTTTGGCACCCCTGTACCTGACTCTTTTTGTTCTGTATCTCTTTGTGCATCTCTTGTTTTAGGTCTATCTTTTTTAACCCCCTCTAGCCCCCCCATACCTGACCTCCATGTGTGTGTATATGTGTGTGTGTGTGTGTGTGTGTGGTGTATATAAATATGTACACACACAAACACAACATATGTAGTATCTTTCTGTTCCTTTACTGATCTGTGTTGTCCACCCATCCACACACATTGAATCTCAGTGCTCTGTGAGTGTTTCGCAGATTGATGGTATCTCTGTCTCTCAATGTATTTTTAAACTATGGTCTGAGTACTCAAGAGCCAGCACTAAGGTTCCAGGCTGAATGATCCTCAGAGATTCTGGTTGAATGAGCAAAGGATGCAATGACTGTCTTGGGAGAAAGCTGTGACTTTCTGGACTCTAAGGCAACAGCACTAGCATCTCATTGGCTCTCTTCACTCTACTCTAGGCTCTGCCTACAAACTGGTTTGCTACTTCACCAACTGGTCCCAGAACCGGCAGGAACCAGGAAGATTCACCCCTGAGAACATTGATCCCTTCCTATGTTCTCATTTCATCTACTCATTTGCCAGCATCAATAACAACAAGGTCGTCATCAAGGACAAGAAAGAAGTGATGCTTTACCAGACCATCAACAGTCTCAAAACCAAGTTAGTAAGATGGAGGTGGTTGCATCCCGGGTGGGTTTTGCAAGAGGGAAGTTAGTCTTAAATTGGGCCTGAGACCTACTATTTCATTCATTCATTCATGTGTATTTCTTTGGGTATAAATTCTGATCCTATCTGTTCTTCTCATCAATACCTTGACCCTTCAGTAAACTTAGATTCATTTCAAACAGACAGGCCCATTTATTCACATTTTTCACAACAGGAGTTCTACCCTTTGGGAAAAGTTTTCCCTGGCAGCCAGAAAACCATAATCAGCTTATTCTTCTTCTCCAGGAATCCCAAACTGAAAATTCTGTTGTCCATTGGAGGGTACCTGTTTGGTTCCAAAGGGTAAGAGCACATCTGTATTTTTCGTTCATTCTCCCATGTTAGTTCTGATCATCACTTTTTCTCCTCTGGAAAAGAGATATTGAATGAGGATTTGAGAGGCCCTCCCGGGGTTGGGTGGGAAAATTGATCTGAATTTTGTCAAAAATGGAGGCATTGCACTAGGTTTTCTTGTCTTTGAAGGAACTCTTTAGGACCTTTGAACAAACCTGGACACTTGGAGAGACACGTGAGAGAAATTGAGCCATGAGCACTATGCAGGAAACCCTTAATTATTTACATAAATGTTTCTCACATTATGGATCATGGGGAAATAGTTTTAGTTGAGAAGTGCAATTTTTAAAAAATAACTTGAGGGCTTGACTTTGCACCACTGGGTGGATTACTTCCACTTAAAAATCCCGGTCAGGCACAGTGGCTCATGCCTGTAATCCCAACACTTTGGGAGGCCAAGGCAGGAGGATTGCTTGCGCCTAGGAATTTGAGACGAGCCTGGGCAACATAGTTAAACCTCATCTCTACAAAAAATAAAAAAAATTAGCCAGGCATGGTGGCAAATGCCTGTAGTCCCAGTTATTCAGGAGACAGAGATGGAAAGATCACCTGAGCCCAGGAGGTCGAGACTGCAGTGAGCTGTGACTGTGCCACTGCACTCCAGCCTGGGCAACAGAGTAATATCCTGATTCAATAAGACAAAACAAAACAAAACAAAAAACTCAGCCTTGGCCTGCAGCAGTCAGTGGATGGCAATGTCCAGGATCATGATCTGAGGACAAGCAGACCAGAGGGGACAACGGGTGTGCTTTGCTTAAAGACAAAATATTTACTGATACAAAGCATGCATTGTAAATTATATTTTCTATTCATATGAAAATGATATTCCATTTGCATAAAGAGCTAAATAAATGCAAGTACGTGAAAATATCTTCATCTATTTATTCTTACATGCATGCAAGCATTCCTTCCGTAAATAATTCATTAAGTGCCTGCTGTGTGTACCAGTTGAGTCGTTAAAAGTAGAGCTTTGAAGATAGACACATCTGGTTTGAATTTCCCTTTAGTTATATACAAGCTGTGTGACTTCAGGCAAGTTCTTTAATGTCTATAAGCTTCAGTTTTTTGTTTTTGTTTTCTATTTAAACTATACAGTGAGGATAATAACAATCTATTTCAGGGCAATGTTGTAAGGACAGGCATTGCAAGCAAACTGTTTGGCATAGTGCCAGTGTGCAACAAGGGATCAATGGTTGCATTAGTTGTTTTATTATTATTGTTATTATTATTATGTAAATGCCAGTCGTGCAGAATACTTAAATATGTGTATCACAAACACTTGTTTCTAAGAAGAAAATTAGTAAATTTGTATTGAATGGGCATCTTTCCTAAAACTAGAGGCAGCTGCCCAGAGGATCAGGTGCACTTTGTAAGCATTGTAAGCACTTTGAAATGCAAGAAAGCCAGGTGCAGTGGTTCACACTTGTAATCCCAGCACTTTGGGAGGTGGAGGCAAGAGAACTGCCTGAGTCCAGGGGTTTGAGACCAGCCTGGGCAACTTGGCAAGACCTCGTCTCTGCAATAAGTAAAAAAAAATTAGCCAGGCATGGTGGCACTCACCTGCAGTTCCAGTTACTTGGCAGGCTGAGATGGAAGGATCACCTGAGCCCAGCAGGTCGAGGCTGAGGTGGCCATAAACATGCCACTGCACTCCAGCCTGGGTGACAGAGTAAGACTCTGACTCAAAAATAAAAAAAAAAGACAAGAGAAAAGCTAGAAACCTGTTTCCACCGTGGTTTTCTGATACCGATCCAGCTTCTTGCTGTCTCTTCCACTCTGAACCTGAGATACATTCAGGAACCAACATATCAATTTAATATTGACTAAAATGAAATTAATTCAAGACTCTAGTATGCCTGGGGGTGTTGTGAAAAATGGAAAGTGCTACAACTCAAATGCCATGTCCTCACTCACTCATCTATAGCTTTGGATTTTAAATGCTGTTGGTACCCTTGGTGTAGATAGCTGAGAGTCAAGTTCTTGACTTAAAAAGTCTAGCTCAGATGGAAGCCCCTGAAGAGCTGCTGTTTTCGAGTCCTGCTTTTCATCAAAAACCCTGGAGATGGGAGATCTGAGGTGCTTATTTGTGTCAGGGTTGCTTTTTAGGGAACACGGAGCTTTCCTAAATGTGACCCCTTTGAGGCACATGAAGAAGAGTTACCATCCTCAATCTCAGTTTAGAGACGGCCAGATTGGAATCCAGACTGTGGGGTAAATGACAAAATGGCTGTTGGAAAGGGCTCTGATCTGGTACTTGAACCCAGATCTCCTGGCCCTTAGCCCACCATATTGCAAACTGCCTTTCTAAGGGTGGAAAGTGTTAAAAATAAAACAAAAACAAAGCTGGACAATATTTAAAGCAGTAGGAGCCAATTATATTTAGGAACTATTGCAATAGGGGAAAAGAGACCCCAGTATAGTGCAGGATTCAATTCTAAATACAGCAAAGGCAAGTGGTGATATATAGCCATAGAGCAGGTTGACGGGGTCAGTGGATGGAAAATTACTAAGAAGAAACTTTAGGGTTGGGGGAATCCTTGCCAAATGGACTCTACAGGATTCCTGCTGAAGGCAAGCCTGAGCAATCAGATATCGCCTAGAGGGGTGGGGGTGAGGGGTGGCGGGAGGAATTTGAAAAGATATTAAGGGTGATCAATTACCAAGAGTGGAGGATTCTGTCTAAACTGACTTAGCAGGATTATTGCCAAAGCTGGATTCTGCAAATGTGGACACCAAAGCCCAAGGTCACGGTCTAGTCAATAAGGCGGCTCTGAGGGGCCCATTTAAAGTTTGTTCAAAGCAAGAGTTTTTGTCAAAGGCAGCTTTCTTACTCTAGCAGGAAGCTCTGCAGAGACTCCAGTCTTCCTTTTCCTGTTTTCTGGTCCAACAATCCTTCTTCTCCCCACCTGTTACAAAAGGAGAAAAGACTGGAATAGACAAATCATGAGTGAATGCTGGGACTTCTGTGGAAAATGTGTTGTACGATGAGTATTGGTTGTTCTTTTCAAAAAACACTTTCATTGCTTCTCCCCAGGTTCCACCCCATGGTTGATTCTTCCACATCACGCTTGGAATTTATTAACTCCGTTATCCTGTTTCTGAGGAACCATAACTTTGATGGACTGGATGTAAGCTGGATCTACCCAGATCAGAAAGGAAACACTCATTTCACTGAGCTGATTCATGTAAGCCAGATCCCATGGTATACTCAGTGTCCCTAACATGCAGAATATGGCCACACCAGGAGAGGAAAAGGATGAAATTGAGGCTGAGGCTGTTTGAACAACACAGCCCCTGCCTCTTAGAAGTCCCCATTGATTGGGGAAAAGTCCCTGTTTCTAGTTTAGGGCAGGAACAACATCAGTCAACAGAGCCCCCTGGTACAATGAGCAACATCAAAATAAAGCAACATCCATATAAAATAATATAAAGCCATAGATTTCCTGGGTGCTGTGACAGCCTCATAGAAGATTTACCAGCTAGATCAGGAGGAAACCCAGATGGTTCTTTCCTGGGTATAAAGTGAGATAGATAACAGGCACAAGGCATCCCCATGTGGGATGGGGAGGAGAGGTTTGATTTCGTCCATCTAATGTGGTTCTAGAAGAATCCTAGATCCCAGGCAAGAAGCTGCACTCTGGGAGGGGACATCTGACACCTTGTTTCCTTCTTTTTCCTAGGAATTAGAAGAAGCCTTTCAGGAGGACTCAAAAAAATCCAACAAAGAAAGACTTCTCTTGACCGCAGGCGTGTCTGCAGGGAGGCAGATGATTGACAACAGCTATCAGATCGAGAAATTAGCAAAGTGAGGTCCTCAGAGCACTTCTTCCATCCCTCTCCCTTTTATGAAAATGATGTCCATAATCTCTCCTGTGTCCGTCCCTCAGGTCTGAGGGATGGTCACCTTCCTAGCACTGCACCATTCAGTTAGAAACAACTTTGTTGGGTGGGTGGGTGGGCTGGCTTTTTAAACTGGATAATCATGGGGTGCATGTGAGGATTGGTTCCATAAGTATATTGTGTGAAGGTGAGGCTTGAATTCTGATGAGCACTACCCAGTGTAGGCATGGGTGGTGTGGTATCCCTTATCCCTTCCTCCCTCCCTTCTTTGGCAATGCCCAGTGTCTTGTTGCTGCGGGAACAACTTGTTTCTGGTAACTTTGGATCCTTTAACAGCATTCAAAGCCCAAAACAATTGCTTACCATTGCTCATCCAGAATCTCTTCTTTGCTTTTGGCACTTTAGAAAACTGGATTTCATCAACCTTTTGACATTTGACTTCCATGGGTCTTGGGAAAAGCCCCTTGTCACTGGCCACAACAGCCCTCTGAGCAAGGGGAAGCTGGACAGAGGGTCAAGCTCCTACTACAATGTGGTGAGTGGTGCAGAGAACATGGGTGGGGGGGGGTTTCCAGTGGAGGAGGGGAAAATCCAGCAAGTCTAGAGTTACTGTTGTCTGGAACGGAGAGGAGGAGCTATGTGCCCAAGAAGGACTCTGGTAACTCCAGGAGATAGTGAGTTCAAGAGAAATGCTTTGACCAGGTACTAATACAAGGTCACCTGGAAAATGTTGGAAGACCTGGTCATTGGAATATCCTAAGCTCGGTATACACAACTTGTAACCTCCTGTGTCCATCCACATTCCCTATTTAATTCGATCTTCAGAACAACCTTACAAGGTCAGTTGGACAGGAATCATTACTCCCACTTGACGGATGATAAAACAGAAATGCAGCAGATTCAGTGACTCTTCAAGGTCATGTGATATGAAGGTCCTGAACGGTGGTGAGAAATGGAAAGTACAAGGAAAAAATGATGCTGTTCTGGCATATTCAAGAGGGGGACTCAAAAGAACCCAGAATTTATTTATAAAAACTTGTGTACTTATTCTTGCATGTTTAAACTCCAGTCACCTTCAAAGTGTTCTCTGTTTGAGGCAATACACCTATCAAGACACTTTTTCCACTGCTTAAAGCAGTTTTTGAACTCGTCTATTTTAATGCCTGTTAGTGCTTCTGCCGGTTTTTATTTCGCATCTTCCACATCGGCGAATCTTTCCATTTGAGGACTTTTTCCATCTGGGAAAAAAAAAATGATGCAGAGCAAATTCAAGTGAATGGGGGCACGGGGGTCATGCCATTATTGGCCAAAAACTGCAGAACATGTAAGCAGGTATGTTGTTATGGTGGAAGAACCAGTTACCTGTTTGCCATGACTCAGGATGTTTCTTCCACAAATCATGATGCAGCCTTCTCAAAACTTCCAGATACAATCTTTGGCTGACCATTTGTTCTGGAGGAACAAATTCCGAGTGCTCTATAAGAGGTCTGCCCTTCAAAAGATCATTCTGGTTTTTTTGGTAGCCCTCATAGATGCATATTTCTTTTTTTTAATACTTAACTTGCTAAACTTTATTATATACATATACATTTACATTGACTAATCATGGGGTCAATCTGTTAACACAATGAAGACCCCATGGACCAGATTTTGAAATTAGAATCTGGACACTTGCAGGCTTTCATCACCTAAAGAGTCTATTCACTCCTGGGTTTTGTTTGGCACACGCCCAAGGATGTACACAGATGAGCAGCCACAAGTGGAAACCCTTCTCTTCTTTCCTGCATTTTCAGATAGGATAACTCAGGATTTTGAAATGAATCATCACAAGGAATGTGTTTTAAAGTTGAATCACTGACAACATCTAACAACTGTTCACATTCTTTACTACAAAAACTGAAGTCAGAAGAAAGACCCTGAAAATGTACAAGGGCTGAAACCCTATGATAGAATATTACTCCTGTGCATCATGTCGGCACATTTACTGGCTACCAAACAACTGAAGAATCACAGCAGAATGAGAACATGTGAATTACAAAAGGAAACTTGCTTTCAGTTATGTAGGACATGCACAGGACTGAATTTCCTCCACTTCTGACCTTCCTTGTCAGTTCTACACAGAGAGGTAGCAGAAACAACTAACTCGAGACCTGTGCAAAAACAAGTTGATCGACGGACACAAGGTCATGCTCTGATAGTCTTCGATGCGACCGGTTTGGTTTACAACATATCTGAATAGTCATTTTCACCGTTTTTAAAAAACACATGGAAAAAATAGACTTGGATTACACTTTGTGGAAACCTTGGGACTCCCCAGAATACCACTATCTCCAGGCTTCTGTGCCCTCCTCTATACCACATACACACACCCTGAGACATAGTGATCTGGTCTGACGGTGTGTCTAAATTCAGAAGGAAGAAATCAAGAGCCAATTTTAAAGATTTTTCCCCCCTTACTATAATGTGAGAAGTAGTCTTCAGCTGCAAAGATGGTGACTGTCAAGTGGAGGTACTGGATGGAATCAGAGCTGACAACCCAGGAATGCCAGAGTCCTGTCCTACCAGCCATCCCTCCTCCCCAGAGGCTCCCAAGAGGGCTCACCACTAATAGGAATCAAAGTGCCATTTTTATGAACAGACTCCAAATCTCAGCTACTTCAAGGCTTAAGCAGACATTTTCCCCTAAAACTAATTCTTGGGATCTTCCAGCTTGATAGTTGGAGAGTGGAAGCTGAAGATGGAAAGAGCGAGAATGCCAGGTCTGCATCAGACCCTGGTTGGCTTAACTAACCCCACTGGTCACAGCAGAGAGAGGCCAGAAGGGAGAAAATGGCCACCTGGCTTTTCAAAACACCAGGCCCCCCACTGGCCGCTGACCCTCCCCAGAAGGAAGCAGCGGTGAAGGAGAAAGGGCTAAACACAGATGGGTGTCACAGTGGCCCTGCCCACGCATAAAGGGGAGTAAAGGTTCTAGAATTTTCCCGAGTCCACTTATCGACTCTCCCGCCTCTGAAGGTGAGTTGAGGAGGACGTTGAAAAAGCAGGCCTGGTAGAGAAAAGGGTAGTTACACACCTGCCTCTTCCCCACTCCCACCCCTGCCTAAGATCTCACCTCTGAGAGCCAGATCTCTACAAACTAGGCCCTAAAACAGTCAAAAGTCTTGTTTCATTCAGTGACAAGAGATGACGTTGCTCCTGACTTGGAACTTTCTCAGTCTTCTTTCAACTCCAGCACAGGTGGTCTCCCAAATTAAAGCTTTCCGGATTCACTGGCAGCATCACAAGGAGAGTCTTCCGGTTTGGCCTTTGGACACCTTGAGGTTGAGGCTGAAGGCTTAGCAGGCTGAGAACCTCGAGGGACCTTCTGAAGGGATGCCTCCTTTGCCAACCTGGCTCTTTCTTTGGAATCACTGGTTTCTTCTGGGCATCTTCCGAGTCAACAAGGACATAAGAGATGGAGCCCAAGTTCACCTTCTTCTTCTTCCTCATGGGGCAGGATTCTTTGCTGAGGCCCAGCCCAAGGTTTTCTTCTTTGGGGGCCCTCTTGGTCTGACTCAGAAGCACCTCCAGGGCTCTCAGCATCTGCTGGGGCATCCTGAGGTCAGTCTCTGGGGGTCTTCCAGGTACATTTTGCCATGGGTTTCTTCAAAACCGACTCCTCCTGCTTCACACGGGGCTTTTTGTTACTCTTGACGGATTCTGAGATGTCCATCCTTTCAGCATCGCCAGCCTCAGGATCCTCCAAGGAGGCTGAGCTGTTGGAATGGTTGCCTTTGGGTTTTTTCCAGGGTTTCTACCTAGGGCTTTTCTTCTGCTTTTTTCTTCTGGGGCAAGTCTTAGCACCAGCCTTGCGAACCAAAGGTCTGGGAGGATCCCCCCAGTCATTCCAGTTGTTGAGGTTCTCCGTCTTAAAGGCAGAGCCTGCCTCTGCAGCAAGCCCGGGATCTTTCTCGACCTTCCTTCCTGCTGCTATAGCCCAGGCCTTCTCCTCAAACTCAGCTGCCTCCCAAATCCTAGCTTCCTCCTGGCTCCGGATCTCGGCATCCATGTAGCAGATGACCTGCACCACCATCCCCAGGAGCACTCTGAAAGCTTCTGCCCAGTTCTCTGGAGGCTGATTCTGGTTCTGGGACCGTGGGGGTTGGTTGAGCTGGAGCAAGCGGATCACATCCCTCCAGGTGCGCCCCTCAGCGTCCAGGAATTCATTCAGCATCCTGGGTGAGGTCTCTGAAGACCACTCTCCAGACACCGCCCCTTCCTGGGAATTCCTGGGGTATGGTGCTCAAATTCACTCCCTCACCAACCTCCATGAGGACAGCTTTGGCCTTCTCTTCAGTGGAGAGAGGACCCCATTCAAGGTCTCCTCAATTTCTGCTTGGCCACAGTCCTCTGGGATGCCTGTGACCAACAGGGACCTGTGGATGTCCACTTTCATTCCCCGGCACCAAATCTCTGGAGGGCTCATCGCCATGATCTTGGCCACTTAGTGGTTTTAATGGAGCAGAGTCCGTGAAGCTGGCACAGGCACAGTGGTCTCCAAATGTGAATCACGTGTTCGGGGACAGTCCTTGGCCCTGTCCCCGAGGTCTGGCGCAGGGAGGTACATGGCAGCTCTACCTCCCACCGTCCAGCCCCAGGCCAAGCAGGGGCCGCTGGGAAGCGGCCACTTCCCAGGCGCAGGCTCAGGCCACCCCAGCGCAACTGCTCAGGACAGGAGAGGCCGGGAAGCCGCTGAGTGCCCCGCTCTGGCCCCGGTGGGTTACGCAGCTGCCCCTCGATTCCGGCAGCTGCACAGACCAAGGCTGGTGTCTCAGCATGCGCCTGTGCCCTCCATGAGTGTGTACTTCTAAAATTTGGAGAGGGGAAAAAAAATGTTGTCTGGGTTGCGTGTTTCCAGGCCTTTACATTGAAAGTTATAAAATGGCTGGTCCAAAGCTAGATCTCCTGATTTTTAGTTTGGAGTTTTCTAGGCCTCCACATGGCAGAGTCACATCAACCTCCTTCACTCCCTCCTCCCTGCCAGCTTCCTTTAAGGAGGAGGAGACATCTCTTCATCTTCTCTAACCTCTTATTTTGTTCTGGATAGCAGGAATGCCAAAATTAGCTTCCTCCTTCTGAATCTGTCCCCTTAGGTCCAAGGTCATTATGAAACCTTAGTGACTAGGAATCTGACAGGCTACCTTCATTAGTAAGCACCATGAGCAATTGTGAAGACAGATTGCACGGGCAACTGACTCAAAGAAGAAACAGAGATGGTGACGACCTTGACTTCATGTTTTCTAGGTTCCTTGCCTGATTTGTGTGTGTGTGTGTGTGATCTACTGTCCAGTTTCTTTCAGAACTTAGAAAAAGCTGAATGAGTTTCTTACTGCTGAAAAGCATTAAATGCATTAGAACAAACACTCTGGTCCTGGTAGGACCATCTACCAGATGTAGAAAAGCAATCAAAGAATCATCTCTGTGAAGTTTGGGCTGGAAGCTAAGAGGCCTAACACCTTTCTTTCCCTATGCCCTGGGCCTCAATCTCTCTTCCCTTCCTAGGAATATGCTGTGGGTTACTGGATACGTAAGGGAATGCCCCCAGAGAAGGTGGTCATGGGCATCCCCACGTATGGACACACCTTCACCCTGGCCTCTGCAGAAACCCGTGTGGGGGCCCCCGCCTCTGGTCCTGGAGCTGCTGGTCCCATCACTAATTCTTCAGGCTTCTTGGCCTATTATGAGGTACCTGGAACACCCCTGTGCCCTCAGCTGGCTTCCATCTCTGGGTGAGGTTTCGACTTTAGTTTGACAGTGATAGGGTAACTCATCCTGAGTGTTGGGGGTGGGGGAGGGGGATACAGAGTACCGTTGGAACACACAAGAGGAGCTCCTAACTCTGGCTTGGGGAGAGGGTTAGGGAATGCTTCCCGAAGGAAATGAGATAAGCTAGCTCTGAAGAGGAGATGGAGTTAGTCGGGAATGGTGATAGGTATTAGAGGGTATGGAGACTGAAAAAGGGAGACTGCCCCAGGTTCTGCACTTGGGCAACTAATGGCTGGCAATGCCATTTCCTAAGTTAGGGAAGACCAGAGCGAGAAGACTGGGCACTGGTCCTCCTCATGAGATCAGTTTTAGACATTCTGAGTGTGAGGAACCTGTGGGACTTATAGGTATGATAAGTGAGTGGTTGCATATATAGGTTTGGATCACAGGAGAACAGTCTGTACTGGAGGGGTGAATTCAAAAATATCAACATAAAGATGGTGTCTGAAGCCAAAGCAGGACAGTGAGAAGTGGATAGGGCCCAAGAAAAACCCAAGGACCTCCTGCAGCCTGAGAAGTATGTGGAGGAAGGGGAGCTCATTAAGGAAACTGATGAGGAACCACAAGACAGGTTGGAGGAACCTGTACAGTTCTGTGTCAGAGAGCTTGGAGAAGTGGGTGTTTCACAAAGGAGGGAGTGGTTAAATGTGTCAGATCCTGCCCAGAAGTCAAATAGGTCATAGGGATAACAACAATTAAAGTTGATTAGACCGCCATTTCTCTCTACCATCCAATCTGGGGAAATTTTAAAAAAATCATCCCTGGGTCATTATAACATTGACAAATTGATATCTACTTAAACAGTCAACTTTCATTTTCTGCCTTCCTTGAAGTAAGCATGAGTGTAGATAATCCGAAAAGAGTTACCAATTCCAAATTAATTTTCTATGCGATGTTGAAATGTATCTTTTTCCCACTGAAGAGCTATCTTTTTTTAGCAGCTCGTATGCTAAAGAGAAATAGAAAGTAGCTGATGATAGAAGGTGGGGATCCCAGTACCGGGTATATTGGGAATGGGTAGAGAAAGCGGGGGAGAAACGAGATTGAAATGGGGATAAGCTACAAGGTGGGGCATGATGGTGTTGGTTGTCATAATACTTCACATCTGTAGAGTGCTTCACCATTTTTTTTTTTTAATTGGAGTCTTACTCTGTTGCCCATGCTGGAGTGCAGTGGCACACTCACGGCCACCCCAGCATTGACCTGCTGGGCTCCAGCGGATCTTTCCACCTCAGCCTTCCAAGCAGCCAGAACTACAGGCATGCGCTACCACACCTGGCTAATTTTTTTATTTACTGTAGAGATGAGGTCCTGTCAAGTTGCCCAGGCTAGTCTCAAACCCACAGGCTCAGGCAATCCACTCACTTCGGCCTCCCAAAGTGCTGGGATGACAGGCTGAGGCACCAAGCCCAGCCCACTTCACCATTTTCAAAAAAAAATTGACATATATTAGTTCATTTGATCCTGACAACAACACTGTAAGGTAGGTGTGTAGCGGGCATTACTGTCATTATTTCCATTTTCCAAGTGAAGAAATGGGAAGATTTATTGGTGTGATCTGGAACTCAAGCATTTTCTCACGTCTAGCTCCTTGTGATCCCTCCTGATGGGGCCTTAGCACAAAGAGTTCCCAGCAGGTCACCTTGGGCTACCCATTCTGTATGATGCCTTGGGTCAGTTCTCTTCTTGTCTGATCCTTGGGAGTAGGTGCGGATATTTTCCCAAGTCCCTAGGGGCTCACCTGTCCTGCTTACCCCGTTGGGTTTCAAGAAGAGCGCATTACTGACCATTGTATTCTTTCCCCCACCAGATCTGTCAGTTCCTTCAAGGAGCCAAGGTCACAAGACTCCAGGATCAGCAAGTTCCCTATGCCGTTAAGGGGAACCAGTGGGTGGGCTATGATGATGTGGAGAGTATAGAGACCAAGGTAGGTGGGCAAGAGGGGGATGCCTCTCTGAGTGGAGGATGGGGATATGTGGGAAACGCCACCACATTCTGTGTTGAAAGAGAGAAGCTTCTGGGACCCCAAATTCTAGGACGCGATCCAATGGCCTCTTTAGCCCAAGTCTAGTAGTGACTCTAAGCCACAACTGTGAGCATCTGTAGTACAGGCAGGAGAGATGGAAAGGATACCAGAAAGACTTGAGAATACGTGAAGTGAGGAGTGGAGAGAAGGGAGGAGCAAGGAGACGGGAGAGGGAAATAAGGAGACGTTGGTACCTATACAGGTTACCTATCCTGTCAGTTATCTCAGGACAAACCCTCCAGTCTTTTTCATGGGTTAGGTATTGAGGAGGCTCCAGATTTCTGTGCCTACTGATCTATCTTAGTAAGACATTTGTGTGCCTTTCAGGCTTAGGGCAGAAAGGAGGCATATGTGTAATTAACAATCAAGGTAACTTGTCTTGCTAAGAGCATTCTAATTTCTTCTCTTATCCTGGAGAGTTTTCTCAGCCTCCAAGAAGGCTGGACCTCGAGTATGGCAACCCCGTGAGCCAGAGTGAGAGGTGGTTAATGGTGGGTGGTCTGTTTCCCTGAGCAAGCTTTCCCTTGAGGGAGTTTCTAACTCTATAAAACCAATTAGTCTACAACTGCAATCTAAGGTCAGACATAAAGTCATCTGAATCCGACTTGATCATGGCACTTCATCTCTTCTAATCTAAAGGTTTTCTAATCTCTGTGTGTCCCTCTGCGCCTCCCACAGGTTCAATTCTTAAAGAACTTAAACCTGGGAGGAGCCATGATCTGGTCTATTGACATGGATGACTTCACTGGCAAATCCTGTAGCCAGGGCCCCTACCCCCTTGTCCAAGCTGTCAAGAGAAACCTTGGACCCCTCTGAAGGTAACAGAGTCTGGGACTGAGGTTGGGAGTGGGCAGAAGGCTGGTTAGAGGAAGGCACAGGAAACTGGGGAAGATCATCTTCACATGGTTAGACTGATTTTTCTTCTCACACTTCCCTAGACCTTCGGCCATGTTGTCTTGGCAATGAAGCTGGCTTTGTCCTTTTGGTATGTTCCCCACAGGTTTTTAAAACAATAATAATAATATTAATGCATTTCCACTGTCACTTATTGAGCGTGAGCTAGGGGCTTCCTTTACATGTATAGTGGGGATAAATATTGACTCCACCACAATTCTTGGTTACACAAACATCAGTCTGTTTTAATTTTCTTTTTAAAATTTTATTTTAGAGTTGTGGGGTCCATGTGAGGGTTTACTATATAAGTAAGTTGCATGCAGGTGAGGCTTAGGCTTCTAGCCAGCCCCCTCTCCCCGGGTAGTGGACCTGGTACCCAGGGCATGGCTGATGAGCCCCTCACCCCTCCCCCTCCCTCCCTCCTTTAGCAGTTCCCACCTTTAGTTGTTCCCACCTTTGTGCTCATGTGCCTACAGATCAGGGCCCACTTATGAGAGAGAACATGAAGTATTCAGGTTTTTTTGTTTCTGAATCACAATAAATCTGACTCCGTGCTGTCAACTCACTGGACTGATGAGAAATCCAATCTCAGTCATGACCTAATGCTTCCTCGCCCCACCCATAGTTGACCTAACTTAGTCTAGACTTCTGGGAAGTCCTGTGTTCATTACTGATTTTCTCTTGCCCAAGCCTCCCTATTACCTTGAAAACCAAAGGCTTTGCTGCTGCTACACCCCTGGGCCCCCAGTTCCCTACGTGCGTTGTATGCTCTTCTGTGCAAGTAAAGGCTGTTGCTAACTAAGCAGCCGTGCTTCCATCTGTGGATTCAAGAGCAGGGACTGGGGTTCACTGGAGACAACTGAAGAGGACTGTCCATGCTATCCTGAGAAGGGCCCAGAGCCACTTGAAAACTTGTGGCTAGGTGACTGGGTAGCAGCCTTCCAGCTCCGAGTATCCATGGTTTAGAAACTTGATTCCGGTCTCAGTTTCCTGAGTTGAGCTGTGAAATACTCTTTCTTGTGTTTCCAGGCTAATGTACAGTGGAGCAGGCGAGGTAACCTCACTGCCTGGGGCCTGCTCCCTCTTCGAAGCCTTTCCTGACTTTCTCTCAGACCTTGGATTGTACTGCAGCTGTTGACTTATGCCCTAAAACCAATAAAAAAACTCATTTTGCTCCAGCAAGTGTGGCCTCATGTGCGTAATCCTTGTCCCTGTGGTATCAGGCTGTCCTGCCCCTACTATTTGTGGGGTCCTGGGTTAGGGTGCAAGTGAAGTCCTGTCTATCCTATGTTTAAATATTTTTAAAAGCTAAAATACTGTTAAAATGTGACTCATGCTCCTATGTTAACAATTATGACCTCACAACAACCTAGAAGACCAGAACCCAAGAGTTTTGAATTCTCAGACGTCCCAGAATTCCACACCAGATGTGGCAGTCCATGCCCGTGGCTCCCAGCACACGATCTTCTTCTCTTCTCAGTTTCAGCTCTGTCTTGCAGATCAGGGGCCCCATGGGCATACTAGTGGACATCTCAGGCTTTCCATCTTAACTTCATCTACATCTTACCTTCACCCCCAACACACACACACGCGCGCGCACGCACACACACACACACACACTGCCTCTGGGTCAGTTGTGTGCATTGTGGTTCACCCTCACTGATGATGGACCAGGGAAGAGGCCTGTGCAGGCCCTGGAAGTGGGCACAGGCTCTGTGGGCTATTTGGATAGGAAGGCTGGAGATCTGGATCATGGTTTAGAAGAGGAGGGATGTGCCTCTAGCCCTCTGTCCCCTTACCTCAGAGGAAGGGCTACAACTGGAACAGGACCAGAGTGGAACCCTCCAAAGCAGGGGGTCAGTAAACTATGGCCTAAGGTCCAATTCAGCCCTCTGTCTGTTTTTGTAAATAAAATTTTTCTGGATCGCAGCCACATCCAGCTTGTTTACATATTGTCTGTGACTGCTTTCTCTCTCCAGTGGCAGGGTTGAGAAGTTATGCTAGAAACATTATGGCCTGCAAAATCTAAAATATTTACTATCTGGCCCTTTCCAAAAAACTATGCCAACACTTATTCTAAAATATGGTGCCCCCAACAGAGCGAGATCCTTGGTCTAAGACTGTTTTTTGGGTCAGACACCTTAATTTTAGGATGAACTGTTTCTCCCCATTTTCCTACTTCTCATCTAATCTTTTTCTTCTAAAAAAAAATGTATTCTAACTTTTCTCTTTCTTTTTTTTTTTTGAGTCAGGGTCTCACTCTGTCGCCCAGGCTAGAGAGTAGTGGCATGATCTTGACTCACTGCAGTCTCGACCTCTTGGGCTCAGGCAATCCACTTCAGCCTCCTGAGTAGCTGGACCTACAGGTTCCGGCCACCATGCCTAGCTAATTTTTTTTAAGACAAGGTCTTGCTATGCTGTCCAGGCTGATCTCAAACTCTTGGGCTAAGCGACCCCCTCCTCGGCTTCCCAAAGTGCTGAGATTAAAAGAGTGAGTCACTATGCCATGAACAACACTTTCATGAACATATTTAAACTGGTAAAATAGGCCAATGGCCGGGCTCGGTGGCTCAACCTGTAATCCCGCGCCTTTGGGAGGCTGAGGTGAGTAGATAGACTGAGCCCGCGGGTTCGAGACCCGCCTGGGCAGCGAGACCTCATCTCTACAATAAATCAAAAAATCAGCCGGGTGTGGTAGCGCATGCCTGTAATTCCGGCTACTTGGAAGGCTGAGGCGGAAGGATCGCCGGAGCCCAGCAGGTCGAGGCTGCGGTGGCCAGGAGTGGCCACTGCACTCCAGTCTGGGTGACAGAGTGAGACTCCAACTCAAAAAAAAAAAAAAAAATAGGCCAATGGTCAGATGAGCTAACTGAGGCATCAGTATAAGGGTATATATCTGATAAGTGGTGGCAACTAGATTGAATCTCAGAATGTGGCAGCCCCAGAATTCCCAGAGAGGAGGGGATTGGAGGTGGCTACATGTTCCAAAGAGGCATGGGATGGGAATACCAGGAAACTTACTCAAAAACTGCTTCAAAGATCCTGGTATGATGGAAAAGCCCAGACGAACATACCAAAGAGTGGGACACTAGGACAAGATGGTCCCCTGAGCTCCCTGAATGCTGTTCTAGTGTTCAGATCTTCTCACCGCCAGGTTGGCATTGGGCACCTCTCTGGTTTCTACCTCAGGGAATTTATGGTGATCAAGTTCTTGAGAAGCAGGAGAAAGGAGTAATTGAGGACACAGTCCAGACTCAGATCTGAGTTCACATGCACAGGCTCTCTCATTAGCCAACTGTCTGTGCGACCTTGGGCACGTTACTTACCTGCTCAGTGCCCCAGTTTTCTCCTTTGCAAGATGAGGGTAATAAGAATACTGACCTCAACCAACTCATCTTTGACAAAGCCTCTACCACCAACCACTGGGGAGACAAGAACCTATTCAGTAAATGGTGCTAGGAAAACTGGCTGACCACATGCAAAAGATTGAAACAGGACCCCTACCTATCCCATACACAAAAATTAACTCTAAATGGATCAGAGACCTAAACGTAAAACCTCAAACTATAAAAACCTTAGAAAATGCAGAAGACATCTTATGGAAATTGGAACTGGCAACCAATTCCTAAGTGCCCATGCCACAAGAGATAAGATAGACAAGTGGGATCTCATCAAACTCACAAGCTTCTGCAAAGTCAAAGAAACCATCAAGAGAGCAGAGATATAGCAGGGAGACAGCCCACAGACTGGGGAAAAAAATTTTCCAACTCCATATCTGACAAAGGCCTAACATCTAGGATCTACAAGGAACTCAAATGTGCTAAAAAGGAAAAAACAAACAGCCCCATTAAAAGTGGGGCAAGAACATGTAACAAACTGTGCTGCCCATCAAAAAAGGACTGGATTTTTTTAAAAAGTACATATACATAATGGAATATTACACAGCCATAAAGAAGAACAAAATCATGAACTTCACAGCAACCTGGATGAAATTAGAGATTATAATACTGAGTGATCTTTCACAGAAACGAAGAACTGTGTATCACATGTTCTCACTCATAAGTGGACCTTGAACAACTATTGAAATACTAAGAAGAGGCTTGATAATGAGAGACTCAAAGGACTCAAAAAAAACTAAACTTGCTATGAAAGAAACGTTTACTATATGAATTCCTACCTCACGTTCACTGTATTTTATAAATCCCTACCTCACGTTTGCTGTATTTTATAAACCCTATAAGACTGTGACTGTAAAGTTACAAAATATTTGCAGTGTTTGTACTTAGAACGTTGTTAAGTTTTTGTTTGTCCCATAATAACCATGTTAATTGAAATAACTGGCTTCTTCTGCTGGCAGCGTGTGAATGTTAAGCAATAAGCCCCTCCCGGACATTCCTTTGCTTGAATTATGGTGGGCTCTGTGGTGCCAGCCACTCTTCTGGTGGACTCTGTGTTATTTCAAACCTGCTTGTATGCCCGAGCTGATTTATGCACAGTCACAGTGACTGTGTAAACTGCAGCTTATCTAACATTCCAGATGGCTTAACTAACTCCACTCTGCCCGTGTAGCCATTAGTAGTCAATCTCGGGCAGCCGAGCCCACGCCCGTGCAAATCAAAAATGAACCCATCAATCTCAAGCTCTCCTGTCCCCTGACATCACCGCAGACCTAATTGAGAACTAATTTTGCAAGGTCCATGGACTTCGTTTTCTACGTCATGCCTTCTTCTAATTGGATAATGTCTCAAGCCTAGGAAAAACCAGTCACGCCCAGTCCCTCCCTCATAACTGTGTATATAAACTACTTGCTGTACTAGGTCAGGGCTCTCATTCCTGTACCCCTGCGCCGGTTACAGACGTGAGCCTGGACTCGAGCCTGAATAAAGACCCTCGTGTGATTTGCATCAGAGCTGGCTCTTTGGTGGTCTCTCGGATTCAGGATTCGGGTACAACAGATAATAGCGGGAAACTGCAGGGAGGGGGGCAGGGAGGTGGGATTGACAGTAGTGGGAATCTGCCTGGGGAAGAGAGGGGTCACACCTCATCAACAAGGGTACCTGCACAATGAATATTTGTATACCTCACCCTGAATTATACCCCACAATTTAAAAAAAAATTCAGAATTGCAACTGAAAAAAAAAAAAAGAATACTGACCTCTCAGGGATATGATGGTAAAGTAAGTTAATATCTGTAAAGCATTTGGGCCAGTGCCTGGCACATCACATACATTATCTGTGTTGTTGCTTCTCCTGGAAGAAAAACTAAGTAAAACAAATCTAAAAGAGTTTCTTTGAGCAAAGAATAGTTCAGAATGGTTCATGAATTGGGCAGCACTAAAAACCAGAAGAAATTCAGAGAGCCCTGCTCTGAAAGTTACCTATAGAAACCTAGAAGAAACTTAGCTTATTCTTTAGTCTTTGTGCCTCAGTGTAACCATTAGAAAACATTCAGACATTCTACTACAAAACAAGCACCAGTCTATCCCATCCCCCTCAGCAAATCTCCTTCAGGTGCAAAACCAGGACAGCTCAACCATTCATGGTTTAGCATAATAATCTCTAGTAAACTTCGAGGTTCCTTGTCAAAGCTGAAGATCAAAGATCACCCTTTGGCTGGCCAAAGTCCTAAGAGTTTGTGAGTTGCAAATGTCTGAGCTTGTGAATTGCAAATGTCTAACAAGTCTCTTGTAGAAATTACTACCCACCTAGGGTTAACCTAATCAACCCTCCGTGAACTGTGTGACACAGATAAGCCCCACCAGGCAGCAATCATGTGACTAACCCACCCATCTTCCTGCTGTCCATCACCTGACATCATCAGTAGTTGCGTTTGCCTGCCCCTTTGTGATGACGTGGAAGCAGACCACCACCCAATCACCCTAATGATATTCCCCCATCAAGGGGAATGGTTCAAAGGACTCAACCACAAGCAACCAGCAGCCATTGCCTTGCTAGAGTCTGGTGTGGCCATGTCCTCTTTGAGCCATGTCTGTCCCCATGCTTCCTGGCTTTGGCCCCCTCCCCCACCTTGGGGAGGTGAATCTTCACTCTTCCTTCTCTTTCTCTTTCTAATTTAGTTCTTTTTTTTTTGAGTTGGAGTCTCACTCTGTCGCCCAAACT